TGACAGAGGGGACTGGCGTCCGGCTGGATAGGGACCAGGAACTCGGTGAGGTCATCCTTGAAGCTCATCAAGATCTTGAGTTGGTGTGCCAGGAAGGTTGGATCAAGGCTGATTGCAGTAGACCTTTTCCGACCTTTACAACCTCTAGGCCTAGGACAAGCCCAGGGCGCAAACCGGCAGGTGTGGCTCAATGCACCTCTGGTTGCCAGATGGCAACAGGATGACTTCCGGTTCCCCCCCTATCAATATGCCGACCGTAACCTCCTCGTGAGCAAGTCAGGAGAGTATCGGCTGCCGAGCATCGAGGAAAAAGAGTTCATGATGGGATTCCCAGTGGGATATACAGCAGGGTGTGTAGCCAAACAGCTCAGAGGCAGTCAGCAGCAACAAGACATCAGGCACACCCTGGTGGGGAACAGTTGGTCGGTGCCGGTCATTGCATGGCTCCTTTCGCAGCTGTTCAGCCGGTTGGGTTTATGCCCTCGGTATGGGCCGCAGGAGGTGATGGATTTGTTCACTCCTTCGGGCCTGGTCTACATGCAGGCGCGTCTGTGGCGCAGGCCCCTGCGCCCGCTTCGGGGACCATGCAAGGACGGTGGAGGCCAACCTCTGGTTGAAAAACTTTGCAATATGATCAGTATCAAGGGTGAAGACATTTTGCTCACTACTCCATCAAGCCAATTGACAAAATATCATCGGCTTCGGGCCTCTGTGCCGGCCCGTTTGTGGCGCTGGCGGGTTGTCACTGGTTGGAAGTGGCGCGGGGGTCACGAGCACATCAATTCGCTCGAACTCCGAGCCGTCCTTACAAGCCTTAGGTGGAGGCTCGAGCATCAGGGACATGCGGGATGTCGGTTTGTGCATCTGACCGACTCCCTGGTCGTCCTACATTGCTTGTCCCGCGGTCGGTCGAGCAGCCGCAAGCTGCGATCTTGTTTGTCTCGAATAAATGCTCTGTTGCTGTGTACAGGAACCCAGGCCCTTTGGGGCTACGTCCATACGGAACAAAATCCCGCTGATGCCCCAAGCCGCTGGGGCAAGCGGGTGAGGACTAAGTTCCGGAATGCCTAAAAGGTTTTTGGAAGGTAGTACACAGTCAGCACGAGCAAAACAGAGACAACAACTAGGTAGCTTACGTGATCTTACAGTACAGCCCGCCACCAAGGCTAGATACACAAAGGCTGTTGATGGCTTCTTGAAATTTCTCAAAAACAACCAAGTTGTGTTACCCAAACAGAGGCAGCAACTGGATCCCCTGGTCTGTGATTATCTGGAGCACCTTTGGTCGACCGGTGAAGGTCGCGCCTTAGCAAGTGACACAGTGGCAGGGCTCCAAGACCAGGATGCTAAGCTCAAGGGTCACCTACCAGGTGCCTGGAGGTTGCTTAAAACGTGGAGCATCAATGAGGTCCCTAACCGGGCCCCGCCAGTGCCGGAACATGTGGTACATGCCATGGCCGGGTGGGCCTTCTTTCATGGCCATGTCAGTTTCGGGGTCTCGTTGCTTCTAGGCTTCTATGCTATGCTTAGGACTGGGGAACTGCTAGCTTTGAGGGCTAACCATCTTTATTGCGATCGCCGACAATCTAAAGTCGTTGTCTCCTTGGGGTTTACCAAAGGAGGAAAACGCCAAGGGGCTGCTGAGTCCTGTGTGATTGGATATGATATGGTGGTTAAATTTATTCAGCAATGGAAATCCATTGCTGCGCCTACGGCAGGGTTCTCACCCAGCCCAGCCAAGTGGCGCTCTCTCTTTAACCAATCGTTAGAATCCCTTCATTTGCAACGTTTTGATTTCAGACCCTATAGTCTCCGCCGTGGCGGTGCGACCTGGTGGTTCAATCGCCACCATAGTTTGGATCAAATTTTGTTGCAAGGCAGATGGCAGGCGCCTAAAACGGCACGCATATACATAAATGATGGGTTGGCTGTCCTAGCCGAACTCCAGCTGCCCTCAACCTTACCCACCCTTGCACCTTTTCTTACCATCTTTAGGCGTTTTTGCACCACCCCCTCTTTCAAAACACTTGAGCCTCCGTGTTTAAAACACGGAAGGTCAGGGGGCCGTGGAAAGAAGCCCAAGAAAGGGCAACAGAAACGGAGAAAATGCCTTGGAAAGGGTGATCATGTTTCTTTGGGAGAATATCACGAGGAAGATCTGAACTCTGGCTGGATAGCAAGGAGGGTCTGGCCCGAAGCTATCTGGGGAGTTGTGACTAGTGCGGTTACGGGTCTGGCCGAACCGACACAAAACGTTTTGCGGAAGTTAAGTTCTGACTCTTTTATTTATTTCCTGTTTAAACAATTATGCTGCGGAGTGGATGTAAAACAAGGGCCGTGCGTTTACTCTTTGGTCCCACGCCCCCGGGGTTAAAGAGTAACCACGTACTTGGTTTTACCTCCCTAGTGTTTTGGCTTAAGCTCCCACAACCCCCCTCCCAATGCTAAATCCGGGAGGGAAAGAAGCCCAAGAAAGGGCAACAGAAACGGAGAAAATGCCTTGGAAAGGGTGATCATGTTTCTTTGGGAGAATATCACGAGGAAGATCTGAACTCTGGCTGGATAGCAAGGAGGGTCTGGCCCGAAGCTATCTGGGGAGTTGTGACTAGTGCGGTTACGGGTCTGGCCGAACCGACACAAAACGTTTTGCGGAAGTTAAGTTCTGACTCTTTTATTTATTACCCGTGCGTTTACTCTTTATATATATATACACCCTATGGATCCAAACACTGTCTGAGAAGATACCTAACACCTTAAATCATACCCCACAACACTTCCTAAGAAAGTACTTGGATTCATAGGGTATACACATGATACTTGATTCAATTTTGTTGGTGAAGACATGTCAATTGTTCCGAAAATTATATAAAACGATCTCCAATTATATCACCACGTTTCCGCATCAAATCATGTTAAAACATCCCCATTTTCGTGGCAAAAATGGATTCTAGGGTGATTTGTTCCTAGTTCCTATCCCATATGATTCATTTATGGATTATGGTATATTTACCTACATTTTGTTCGGGCAAATGTTGGTGTGAATATTCCAGCACCATGGAGCATATGGGGGTGGTTATGACATGTTGTTATATTCACTTTGGCAAACATGGATTCCAGGGTGATCTGTTCCTATAGTTCCTATGTAAATAAATCAGTGCCATAGTTCTAGGGTGATCTGTGCCATAGTTCCATTGTTCCTATGTAAATCATTAAATCACCAATAAATTCCCCTCATAAAAACGCCAGGTGTGGGGCAGCGGAATCCTGCGCCTGCGCACGGGCTCCGGTTTTTTTTCCCGGGGTTCCCGATGGGAAGCACCACCAGTTGAGTTAGCTCACCGGTTTGTAATACTGTAGGTATTTAACGGTATATAATTAATTATATATATATATATTATGTAATAATAGTAATTATATATATATATGATGCATTTATCTATACCAAACCACGTGAGTATATTGTATTTGAACCAAGATATACCCTCTGGTTATGACTAACATAGCCATGGAAAATCACATAAAATCACCATGTTTAATAGGTAAACCATCTATTTCTATGGGCCATCTATACCATGTCGAACTGTTAAATAACCAGAGGGTATATATATATGTATTATGTAATAGTAATGGTTTTTGAACACCCCTACAAAATTCCGTTTCACGCAACCTGGTGAACGATCCGCTTTTGAGGGTGCCAAGCATGCTGATCCATCATTCCTATCTTCAGAAATCAATGGCAAGATGAATCTCAAACACTTCCAATATCTATAGTCTACAAGGGTCAAAAAAAAAACATTCGCTCCCCTTAAACAGAGTCGGCCCCATGTTTTTTAATCCAATCCCCTCGCAGATCGCCCTCGCTGCCCTGCTTCAAGGTCAGCTGTATGCGGAGTCACCCAAAGCGGCCAAGAAAGAAGCAGCGACCTTTGTGACGCAGATGTGCCCCGGGTCAGGGGATCGGCTTGGTAAACATGGCTGGGAAGCCTGTTTTTGTTTGACTCCTGGAAAAAAAAATTGTTTTTGATTAGATCCTCATTAATTGTGGTTTTATACCAGTAGTCAAAATCATTAATTATTGGGATGAACCAATGTTTCATCCCAATGGTTTAACACTGTAACCATCATTAATTCTATACCACTACTCTTGATGGTTTCATGCCAATGTTGGATGGTTAAATCACCCTTGAATCACCATGTTTGATGCTTAAATCCCCATATGTCAGCATTAAATCACCATTCAAGCACCTTTACACCCAATCACCACTAGAATCAGCATTGAATCACTTTTGTTTCATCAACAATAAATCACCAACAATCAATCACCATTAGATCATCAATAGATCAATCACCATTAGATCACGAACAGTTTTTTAATCATCAATAGATCACCATTGAAGCATCATCAAGAAATCATCATTAGATCACCCAATAGATCCCATTCAATCCCATTCAATCCCATTCAATCCCACTAAATCACCATTAAAATCGCCTAAATCACCATGAAATCACTAGGATATCACCATGAAATCACTATGAAATCACCATTAAACCACCACCAAAAAACCATTGGACCTTGGAGGTACGGCCACGGCCTGAAGCCTGTGATCGTGAAGCCGGTGAACTCCACCAGCAAACCGTCCGGGGGCCCCGAGGGCCCCGGGGGACCTGGCCTGGCCATGGGGAAATCCATGGGGAAATCCATGGGAAATTCATAGGGATTTCATAGGGATAAATATAGTTCATATGGGTTTAAGGCAGTTTAAGGTGCTATTTGTATGATTTGATAGTACAGTAATGGGACTATAATGGGATTAGCAGAGGGTATAGCAACTCCCAAATTGATAGATAAGTATAAATCATAGAAATGTAATGGCAAAAAATGTTGTGATTTACTTGTCTATCTTTACTGGGGGCAATAGAAGACAGCAATAATTATAGCAACCCGAAAGACGCCGAAAAGCAAATGATCAATATTTTTTTGGGATTGTACTTGTTTTATCTTTTTGGGGAGTCACTATGATTTGTTTATTCTTAGCCATCAATCAACATTGAAATAGGGACCCCAACATGTTGCAATAGGGAATCCACAGAAAACCCAGAAGACATGACATTGCTGTTGGATATGTGTTGTTAGATCATATTATTAGTCAAGCAACACGACAAGGAATTGAACAAGGATAAATAGGTAAACCTGTGTCAAAGGCAATAGAGAAAGGGCTCTGCAATGGGCTAACAACCACCAAGACTTGTCCTTACAATTTGATACAATTTGGGTATCAATCATAGGGTTTACACGAACAACAATTGAGTACTCTCTTGAGAAGCCAGCTGGTTGGGTATTCAAAACGAGCAAACACAAGCATAACATTTTTTTGTTGCAGGATTTCCAGATTAGCCATAGCATTTGCAGTCTGGAAAGACCAGCAAGGGAGGCTCCAACGAAGGTTGGAGGGTGAACCATACAACTAGGTATTTTTTTTTTGGGTATCTATATTGATGATTGAATTGTTTTGTCAACAAGTCATAATTAGTCTGTACTTATACATATATATATATATATATATATACAAATATAATAATATACATACACGAATTTACGTTATTGAACTTCTATATTTATTGATACATCATTGATACATCCAGCTTGTATACCAATCATTGAAGGATATATATATATATATATATTCTGGTACTATACATGCATCAATGATGATGTACTAAAAATATCTAGAACATACCCTCTGGTAATTTAACATAGACCCTGAAAATGACCAATGTTTAATGGTTTCACTAGTCTTCCAACCCCGATGACTGCCAGGGTCTATGTTAATTTACCAGAGGGTAAATCCATGGATTTGTGGAAAATGGCACATTTATAGATGATTTTTCCATTAAAACCTCCATTTATAAGGGATTTTATACATCCCACTATCTACCCCAAAACCAAGGTTCCGCACCACCAAAGACGGCGTGATTTCCAGCCTCGTGGGCGGCTACGAAGAGTTTCCCGAGGAGTCCAGGGAGCCCAGGGAGCCCAGGCAACGTGGCAACGGTAAAGGGGTCAAGCCCTTGGGGAAAAAATAGACCATCTGGTTATGACTAACATACCCTCTGGTAAACTAACATAGCTGTAGACAATACCCCATAGAAATAGTGGATTTTCCCATTAAACATGGTGATTTTCTATAGTTATGTAAGTTTACCAGAGGGTAGCCATGGATAATCCGATTTTTAATAGGTAAAACATCTATAAATGGGCCATCTATACCATGGCTATGTTAAATAACCAGAGGGTACCCTCTGGAAAATATGGTTTAATAATGAACATATAATATAATGAAGATAATGAAATAGATGTTTGGTTGATTGGTGACAAACTGATGTTTGCCCTCTGGTAAATTAACTTGTTGACCCTGAAAATCACCAGTTTTTACTGGAAATGAATCTTCCAACCCTTATTTGGCAGGGTCTATGTGAATTTACTGGAGCGTAAAACATGGTGATTTCAATTGCTTTTTGGATATAAGGTCGGAAAAACAATGCCATTTGCACCATCAGTCATCACCATTTTTATAGGTGGTCAAAACCGTTCCCAAAGCTACATGCAAAGTTTTTAAAGGAATACCCGTTGTTCAACTAACATAGCAATGGCTTCTTTTGTTTGATGATTTACCAATGACAAAGATGACTTTCTGTCGTTTGGTCAAAGTAGAGGCCAATATTTCACAACAGATCTGGGACCAAAACATTGGGATCTGAACACCAGGGTCCCTACATGTTGACCACCATAGATGCATAGGTATATTTATATACACACCTATACTGGTTGGTGGTTTGCAACATGAATTATATTTTCCACTTCATATATGTGATGTCATCCTTCCCATTGACGAACTCCATCATTTTTCAAGATGGTGAAATTGCACCATATTGCACCACCAACCAGTATATACATGTATTAGCGTACACTTGTGTTGTTCCAGACATGATGATTCCAATCGTCTGGGGTGGAAGTCCTGTCGCCAGCTGATGGTTTTTTTGATCTCCATGTTGGCGTGCCAGAAAATGCGTTGCTACCCTCTGGTTATTTGTTACATAGCCATGGTATAGATGGCCCATAGAAATATATGGTTTACCTATGAATAGCATGGCGGATCTTTCCATGGCGAACTGTTAAATAACCAGATGGTACATGCAAGTTCATGACCCATCGATTGCAGGTGTCATCATTATTCTGAATGAGATTAGTATTGTTGATTACTATCAACCACGTGCTAACTGGCATGTACATCCAAGTATGTATCAAAACATGTCGGACAAAAATAGTTTATCATTATTTTAGTATGTATATATATATATATATTATATCTTATTGTGTGTCGCTATTTCTACTCCTGTCTCTGTTGCCTGTCGTTCAAGCCCGCGTCCGCAAGGACAAAGGCTTCGTTGTAGGGCAATTCTGGTCGCTGGGCTCGATGGGTTCTGACGCTGGATAGCCTGGATGGTTCGTGTTCAGAATCTCCGCCATGGACCATGTATGGAAAAGGATGGTTTGACTACAATTATTATGGTGAATGAATGGTGACCGACTATAATTATTCAATGACTTAGGTTATTTGACTAACTAGGTTATTCACAGTTAAGAAGTTAATTATTCCATGATTTACCTATGAAGAATGGTGATGTTCCAGTTCAGTAGGTGAAAAAACCAGATCTAGTGAGGTAAAGCCAATAGTAAATCATAGTCAAGCATCCTCTCTGGACCAGGGAAAATCTGTTTTGCGAATCTGTAGGGAAAAGTGAAATTGAAGAGGAACTAAAGATATCATCCAATCAGTTTGGGGCATTTTACATGGAGGAATTGGGGTGCATCTTGTGGTACCGAAAGTGGTTTTTGGGTGTGGGTCTCTAGGGATTTTAACGCCTGGAGATAGCCAAAGATGGGTTTATCATTTTGTGGATCACTCTGATTTTTGTTGTTCGGATCCTGTACTCGATTTCAACCCAGGCAATACGTAAATAACATTAAATAAGTATATATACATATATATATATATATTATACAAGCAACATATTATATTTGTAGTATTTTATAGTTATATTCGTATTAAAGACTTCTATAGTTATTGAAGAAAGTAGCACACTGCTGTGGAAACTGGTCCTTGAAAGTAGCGCAACGATTTTCGATGGCTGCTGTGGTGAGGGATAAGATCCGCTTTGACAATGCTGGCATCAGCGTGGAAGGTGGGTTCACCGGAGAGGGTCCAAGGTCCTAAGGTGGCACGTGGGCACGTAGGCATCAGCGTGGATCAGAAATTGATGTAAGGTCTACAGGTTGAAACCATGGTTATCTTACCATCAAATATGAGCTTGTTGGTGGTTTGTTTGTTTTTTCTCGATATATTGGGAATAATAATCCCAACTGACTACAAGTTGAAACCATGGTTACCCTCTGGTAAACGTGTACATAGCTATGGAAAGATCCACCATTTTTCATGGGTAAATCAATTATTTCTATGGGCCATTTTCAATAGCTATGTTTGTTTACCAGAGGGTATCTGACAAGGTGGTGCCCCCCGAGTTATAAGTTGGTTTATAAACCATAGTAACTATGTGTATATATATAATATACGATAAACCCAAGCAATGGAGTTATAAACCAACTTAGCGAACTATGGGGCACCACCTTGCACCATCAAATATGAGGATTTCCGAGGTTTCCTCCATGAAATATGGTCAACCATGAGGGTTTCCCGAGCAAATTGCACATCCAATTCTGGGAATATATGATGTAATCAAATACTCAGAAATCATAAATGGATCAACAGACCTTGTGGTTTTAATGTGGAGATGAACATGTGGAGATGGCAAGTTATCAGTTATCATTACAATGAGTTTTTGGTTTTCTGAGGTTCCCCAAGACCCAGGAGGCAAGGTTTAGTTAGCCATGCTACCATGTTTCAACTGCTGTTCCTACTCTACATCTACTAATTTTGGAACATGTTCACTATTTTGGCTATAACTATAACTACGAAAAGTTAACATCATCCATATTCATCCATCATAGTTTGTAGTGGCCATCAAGAAGGAGTCAGATTTTTCTGTTTTTTAATGTTTCAATATTGTCATTCCTTCTTCGTGGCTGACACTGATTTGGGGATGGGTCAAAACCTATTAATACCATTTTTAGGGGGATGAACATCCATAAATCCCAGCTATTTTGATGTGAACTACAGGGGTACTATTGGTTTTGACACACTGCCATTTGATCATAGTTTGGTATGTCAAGCTACGCAAAAAATCCCAGTGGTACCAGGCCCTCAAGCCTTAGCCATGGGCAACTGTTTCTTCAGAGGCCCTCTGTCGCGTGTCGTTCGCGTAAAGAACGGGGGAAAATGTGGAGGAAAATATGTGCGTTGATTCACTTGGAAGCGGTCGTTCATGTTTTGTAATTGCTATGCTACTTGGAAGCAGACTCTTAGTTAAACAGCTGTTTCTTGCTGGAATAGCACGCATCGAAAGTCAAAATGTCCAGCCAGAAAGTGCTCAATACAGCGCAACCAAATATGAAGTTCAAAGTGGTATCCCGGTATCCCTATCAAAATGTTGCCCACTTCACCTTCGAGACAAACACCCCACGAAGGCACCTCGAGAAAGACATACAGTATCCTTTTTTAGGGGCTGTTAGTATTCATCATACTCTTCATCATCATCATCATCATCATCATCAATATCAATTCAATTCAATCATCACCAATTGGTGACTACTTAAATGTGAATCATATCCCATAGGATCCATGTATGGTATATATGCTAACATTGGGGGTATATTGATGGGATCCGTGTTACCATATCTAGCATACATGGATCCTATTGGTATTCAATCATCATCAATCCTTGTGAAAGGTGTTTCTTGAGAAACTTGTTTGATCTTGGAGGGTAGTGCCTCCCAGTTATGTTTGTTGGTTTATAACCCCCTGACTATAGAATACTATACTATACCCATAGGATCCATGTATGGAATATTTAACAACATTTACCCTAAATATCACCCAAATGTAGGTAAATATACCATACATGGATCCTATGGGATATATAATAAGAGAGAGAGAGAGAGATATATATATATATATATCACAAATCCGTGTTAACCTTGTTCTAAACCAACTTGGGAAACTATGGGGCATTTCCTTGTAGATGTCCTTAATCGAGGGGCTCTTTGATTTCCAAAAATGAAGATGGATACTTGAAATCAGGTAGACATGTGGGATTTATCATTTAAAAAGTATCAAACCCACCGTAACCCACCTTTTTTTGGCAGATATCTTCATTCAATGGCTTGTTTTTTTCGGGAAAATCTACCGGAAACCATGGATCTTCCCATGAAAATCATGGGTTTTTCCTTGGTAAATTTTCGCCAAGCCATTGATTCACACAACGGAGCCATGGCATCTGCACGGCCCAGATCCGGTCACCGGCAACGAAAGCGCCTTGGAGTACACCTTCGGCTACTTCCGCGACAAAGAGGGACACCTGCGCAGGGGCTTCCCAGGGGCTAGGAAAGGGGCACCAGGGTCGGAAGCGTGAGGTAAAAATAAGAGCTTCTAAGTCCAATAAGTAGGGTGAATTGGTAGAGAATGGTCTGCAGAATGGTAGATATATCATGATATATCTATAGACTACTGTAGATAGATGTATACCATATATATATACTGTATATATATATACATAGGGATAGATAGATAGATAGATAGATAGATAGATTACTACTCCGATAAGTGTTGGGTTTATATGATAGATCTATCAAACCAGTCACGATGGTTTATCAACTACCTTTCAACTGGTGGTCACCACCTTGTATAACCATTTTGACGGGGATATAGTAACCAGAGGCAACCAGAACCTTGGTTGAGACGGGTGTGATGTAAAGATTGAAATATTGGTTTTTAAAGGTTGCTGGGGATATCTACTAAGCAACTAAGAATCACGACTTTTCCGGGGTATTCAAGATTGGACATAGACAATTTACCGGAATCAGCATTCCACAAATCTTTGTATATGTATATATATATATAAATGTGTATATATATATATACATATATATATATGTTATGTTGAATATGTGTGAATCACCATTCATCTTAGTGATCTCCGGTTTTTTGGGACCCACGTCGACCCTGGTGATTCCCTTTCTTCACTGAGGAATCAACCTGCACTTCGCATCTGCTCCGCTGGGCGCCTGGTACCCGCAATGATCCAAAGGATAATCATGATTTTCCGGATCAACAATGGTCATTTTTTGGGGGATTCAACTATGTAGGCCCTAGGCAGGTAAGCCCCAAGATACATGGTTCAGATTCGCCCTCATAATTGTGCTTGGGGTGAGCTTCAGCAAAAGGGATGACAGCTTGGTTCTGGTCACAGCGCAAAAACCCAGCAGCTGAGGTACCAAAACCACAGCAACAGGTTGGATGGCGGTGAGTTGGATCCAGTTTTGCCCTTGTTGTTTGTTTCACATGTTTCACCTAGCTTGGGCCCTTGGGAAGCAAATGGTTAGACCAATGTTGGACACACAAATTGGACATAGAGTATTTGTCATGAAAACTTGTACCTTCTGGTCATCAAACATAGCAATGGACATCAAACACACCATTTTATGATATGTTATGCATTATTTGTTCTTCCATTACCCATATGCAACCCATGGTGCTGGTATATTTACCTACAAAACTAGTTGTTAATATTTTTCAGGCAAAAAAACTAGGTGTGCATATTCCAGCACCTGTAGGGTTGCATTTCTGGGTTTAGAACATCCCTCTGTCAACATGCCCATAGGATCCATGTATGGTATATTTACCTACAAAACTGGGTGAGATTTAGGGTAAATGTTGTTAAATATTCCATACATGGATCCTATGGGTATAGTATAAATTTACAGGAAAACCCCATATTTAATGGGAAATTCTATGGTTTCCGGTTAAGATTTTCCCAACAAAACCAATCCATTGAAACATGGGAAAAAAAACCCAGGGTTTTTCCCGAAAATCTTCAGAAGTCGTCTCCAGGACGGTGTCGGAAGATATCACCTCGGAGGAATTGAACGCTGCGCAGAAGGCCGGGGGAGTCCCGTGGGTTCAGTGGGAAAATCGATGGGAAGATCATAGCATGGTCAATAACAGCTATAAATGGCTATAAATCATCAATAAGATGGTGAAATATAGTTGTTTTATGATGTTTTTATAGATTTATAGATGGTTTTCCATGGTGAAATCTATAAATGATCTATCAAAATCGGGATTTTACTGTGGTTTTCCCATCTTTAAATGGGGATTATGGGATGATGGTTGGGGATATGAATCAGAGATGAATGGGATGTAACTCATCAACTGAAAATGATGTGGGGTGTGTGTGAAAATGTGGGGTAACCCCCTAGAATTTGATGGTTCAAAAAACGCTCATGAAACTGAGAATCTTGAGGTATCCAGCATTTTTTGACAGACCCATATGGTGTCTTGTACTATCAAAAGATATTGATAAGTTATTGTTGTTGTTTCAACAATACCACTAATTAATTCAATTTAGCTGTGGTTCAACTAGGAAAGTATATACACAAAGTTCATGTTTGGGGCTCGTTAGCCACCAGCAGCCACGTTAATGAGGGCAAGCCTTAACCATATATTATATATCGGATGCGGTCACCTTTGGCTGTGTGATACAATGTGCTGTCCCTGCTGGAGAGCTAAGTTAGTTCATAGGTAATAATACAACTGGGATCCGTTGTAGATATATTGAACTAGTTTAGGGTGGTTATAAATATTTATAAATCCATTAATAAGTGCGGGGCATCACCTTGTGATTTTATCAAGAACATGATGGGGACATTTTCCGTATCAACAGAGGTTGGGAAATCGACAGGTGAAAATTCAGTTTCATACTGTGCGCGTTTAGGGATGAAGGATAGTTGGATGGTGAAAGAAGAGACAATGTTTGTTCCAAAAGAAGGTTCAACAAAGGAATCATGATTTACCTTCAATTTTTTGGGACCATCATAATTTATAATACTGTAGTCGTTTGCCATAAATAATGAGAATAACTGGGATAACTATGTAGTAGCATGCAATAGCCAGCAAAAGATTGTTGCATGGTATCTTCAGGACTGACATAGAGTGACGATGTCAATGAAGAAGCGTTTTTGTTAAGGTCGGGAATTGTCAGGAAGATGTCTTTGATTCTCAATAAACATGCGAATTCAAACCATCCAAATCGATGAACCAAGCAGGAGAGTATTGCAAGAGTTGAACATAGTGGTGCTGGATTTGTCGTGGAGTCGCGGGGGTTCAATCATTTTTTCTCGATGTCAAGCGAGCAACCCAACTGTGCCTGCAGTCCTTTGGCGACACCATCGTGGACATCGGCAAGTACTACAAGAAGGGGTACGCCGCCACACTGCACGCGGCAGCAACATGGAATATTCCATTAATTAATGTACCCCAGTTCTACATGTTACCGAGAAAGTGGTCAGATATCTTGGGCTGGTCTGTTATATTGTATATTGATGATATTATTTGGTTTGGTGCTTGGTTGATTTCCTTCGTCAAATTTTATTGGTTGATTTCGACACCCATCAGACAGTAAAACCGTGCCATAGCTGTTTGAAGCACTTAAGGCGTGCGGAAAAAGAGAAGCAAGTCGGAGGAAGTTACGAGACTTGAGATCTTACGCATGATCACATATTTGCGTTGATTTAGATAAACAGACACAACTCAGCTCAACTAGCAAAACACATGCAGTTTCTTGCAATGTTCGGCATCTGGAGACAGTGTCGTCAAAGTGGGGTAGCATGAGCCGGGGTAGTCAAGTGGGTCACAGGGTGGCTGCTAAAGCCAGAAGAGGAAGAACTTAAAATCTGTCCCATCTTCAATGTCAGGGGGGCCAAGCCCAACCTTCTTCCGAGTCCACGCGTTTTGGTGGGCCATGGCACCTGCTGTCATATCCAAAGAACGACATCGGGCCACGAGAGGTTCTGTGGGGAGTGGATCTTCAAGATACTCTACAGAGATTTTGGTGACTGTTGCAATCCATCCTATGACAGTTGCTTGACAGAGAATCAAGATGAATCAAGTATACAATATACACAACTGCAGTACCCAGTTTTGTACCCTATTTTCAACATACAATCAAATGACTCCCGTGCTCCCCGTCTTGTAGACATAGGGGAAACTTGGATACTGCACCACTGGTGAAAAGCCAGGGATCACGGTGAGTTTCCCTAGTTGATAATATATATATATATATGTATATGTATGTATACGTGCGTTAATTGCGCTGTATCATGTGACAAAGTGATTTTGACCTGATTTCACATGCTAGTGATTTAGAACCATTAGATATTCGCTATGGGATAGTCCCATAGCGACAAACCTAACCCACCCAAATCCATCAAAGAAATGCCGCCGAATGCCGCCTTCAGGCCACTCTGCTCGTCTATTGCTTCTACTCGTCGCCTGGCAGTGAAGAAAGGTCCGTGTGGTGGCGGTTGTCTGTTTCTCCTATGACTTGGCAATCATTTTGTACCTTAGAATTCCCCTTTGAATGGGAATTTCAGGATCCTAAAATGGAGGTACTTTACTATGTAAGGCCATATGAATTGTGGGGATATTCACTTACATAGGCCTAAAAAATAGGCCTTATATATGGTAGGTACCTCCATTTTAGGATCCTGGAATTCCCATCGATTTCTGATCTTAGCCAATACATAAATGTTTACTTGTTTCGACCATCCAGTCAATCCCCACAAATCCAGTCATCGGCTTTTTCTGAAAGCCGGAATATCAGAAACCTCAGCTGTGTGTGCACATGGGATACCCCCAATTCAACCAGATAATCATCATAGAACCGGTCCCCAAATCAGGAGTAAATCCAGATTTTTTGGACACATCCATTTCGATCTCATTCATGGGATTGAATAACAGTGTTTCATGTTTAAACCATGTAAAACCTGATGTTTTCATGGTGAAACTATGTTAAACCTTATGTTTCATGGTCAACAATTCACTTTTGGCTCCTTGGGCTCCATTTTGTTGAGGATAAATCTGTATAAAATCATGTATTCTTAATGGTGAATTCACTCAATTTCTGCACATGTCCATATCGTTTCAGGTGAACTCCCGCGTTTCATCATGGAAAACCTCTAGCCTTTTTGGCCCACCGGTGTTGCCGGCGAGGTCCTAGGCGTCTCTGGCAGCTTCGTGCCCGGCTTGGCGCGCGAAGCGCTGCGCTTCGACACGGGGGGAATGCGCCTGCAGCGACGCCTGGAGTGTTTCGTTCAGGGGATGGTTTCTAAATGAAGCCCTGAAAAAGGTGGGAAAGATATCTCCAACATTTTCCAACTATGGTCGGATTTATGGTAGATCTAGATCTGTATAGTTAGATGCAAACGCCGAAGTCCTCCAGACGCGGGGCAAATGGTGGGAGTTGATCGAGTTAGTTACTATATCCCATATGCTCCATGTATGGAATATTTACCAACATTTGCCCTAAAATTTAAAAAGTCACCCAAATTTAGGTAAATATACCAGCACCATGGAGCATATGGGATATAGTTTCTATGATAGTTTCAAAACGAACTTGGGGCACGACCTTGTAGAAAGACCGGGGCGATGTTTAGTCCCCGGTGGGTCCCCGGTGGAGGACCATCATCCTTCCACCGGTGAAAAAAGCATGGTGAAATGAGGATGACCAAGTTTGGGGACCGTTTTAGATGGGATTATAATAAATGGATATGCCATTAGTATCCATTAGTATATAATGAATAAAATATAACTACTGTATACTTATTATATAGTTATAATATATCCATATATAATCCATTTATACACTAAGTTAGCTAACTTAACTTCACGGCATATAGATCGCTGGGTAAATGAAACATGGTTAACACATGTTAACCTTGTTTTATTTGAAGTGATTTAATGTGGCAAACACACTGAAAAAGCAAATTTCAGGATGGGATAAGAACCCACCATAACCCACCATATCCCACCTATTGATGGCCACATTGCAGACGGTTTATAGTTCTGGGTAAATTATAACGAGGCTTTGGGCCCAACCTCCCCGCGGTAAGCTTGTTTCGATTGTCCAAAAATCGAACGAATTGGGCCATGGCATTTTCGGTGCAGCAACTCTATGCTCTTCTGGAAGAGTACGACTGTGATAGCTCATTGGGGTCCAGAGATGTTCCATTGAGAACCAACATGTTGGTAGACTTTACCATTCGACATTTCACTGAAACTGATTTGACCCTGGGCTTCAATCAGTGGTCTCCAGAAGGCTATGGACTCAAGGTCTTTGAGCATGATCATATGTTTGTTCCTGGTGATTCCCCTTGTGCCTCGGATCTGACCCTTATTTGGAACGTGCAGACATCCATGCCACCTGTTGGCCAGAAGATATGGCTTATCAACGTTTGGGAACATGAGTGTGACGTGTCTCTTTTCCAATATGATGAGCATTCGTCATGGTGTTATGCAACTAGTGCCAGTGAATCACGACAGGGACTCCATCATTTGGAGCTTTTCAGTGGTGGAGTAGGAGGTTGGACTACCGCACTGAGGTTTCTGTCCGGCCTGACCCATGTGCCAGTCATGTCTGTAGGAATTGAGCATGATTTGAACATTGCCAGAACTTATGCGCTGAACCAGTGTGCGTCAATGGTAGTGCCTCAAACCGATTTGCCTGATGATATTTTCTGCAGTCATGGGGGTAACTGGATTATTTGTGATGATGTTTGCTCCTATAGATGGGTAAGGGCAGTAACCTTTTGGGGGGTAGATGTAGTCACGGTGAGCTCACCTTGTGGACCCTGGTCCACTGCATCCACAGCATTGGGCCTTGCTAAGCATGAAGGGTGTCTCCTTTTGCATGGCATCCTCAAATGTCGATTCTTGAGACCGATGTATATTGCACTGGAAAATGTCTCAGGATTTGCTGCCCACTTGCATAAACCCTACATTGAGAGGGCTCTGAGATGGATAGGATACCGCCTCCAATGGCAGAAAACTATTGATGTCAAGGCTTGCATGGGTATCATGAGGTCAAGATGGTTGGCCTTGGCTGTCCGAGTTCACTCATCATGCCAGATTCCGCCAGTTAGCATGAGTCCATTGCCAGTTTTGCCAGTGATTGATCACGAGCCTTTCCTTTTGACATGGAGCCAGCACGTAATGGACAAATTGTCCATCCATGAGGCAATGTACAAAGTTGCATCCGATCCAACCAAAGTGCACAAAACAGCCAGCAAGAAGCAACCGCATGAACTTTTTCAGGACAGAATTTATGCTTCGAACATGATGCTCCCGACTTTCATGGCCAAATATGGCACACAACATCTTTTGCCGGATAAGCACCTGCAGGACCACAAATACCTGGGGTTTTTCCTGAAGGACCCGCTGGCACCACATGGGGCCAGACTGTTCCATCCAGCAGAAGTGTGCTTGTTGCATGGGGTTGTACAGTGGGCTTTTGTTGACTCCGACATGGAACATGCATGGCTCACAGCCGGTAATGCCATCCTGCCAATCCATGCGCTTCTGCCTTTGATCCAAGTGGTGAATAGGGTTGCCAAAGAACCTGTCACATTCCAGCATGCGTATGATGCCTTCCAGATTCAGCGCCTGAAAAGAGACAGCATCTGCATCACACCTACACCACATGGCATTTTTCTCACAGATCATGATGCAGTTCCCATGGATGACCTGTTGCAGAGTGTTTCAGCCTTGTTTGCATATCCGAAAGCCACGAGTGACATGACTGTTTGGATTCCGCAATTTGGCATCCACACACTTGATCAGACACATGCAGATTGCGATGCACAACGCGGCATACAAGATGAGCAAACACAAATTGATGCCAGCCCGATATCAATTGCCTCCTCTTCAGAGCAGGAAGAAATCCATGTCATGGTTTTACAGGGTATGATTGAGGGCCCCGCTTTTGTGCAAAAGTTTTGGTTTGCTTCTGACCTCCCAGCAGCTTTGTTGGAAACACCATGGCACCATCAGTTTGCATGCTTCTATCAAGATCCAGCGGACGTCCAAGGTATCACCAAGTTGTGCTTGCGCGCTGAGGAAAGTCATGAGGTTCACCCTGCTGACAACACACTGATCCAGATACTCATGGAGCAACAACTCACCTTGCTGAAGTGCGAAACCCAGAAGCCAATCAAGGCACACCCAGAAATCGCAGCTTTGACCGACTGCATTTATGATCAATTTGGAGTACTCAATGACCAACAAGTCACTGATGAGTTTACAGTCCTTACTGACACTTTGCTGCAACATGGGCTTTTCACAGGGGATGTACTTTGCTTATTGGCTGCTTTTGAATTGACCGATGTCACCTCTCTTTGGGATCATTCCATTGATGCCATGATGATTCATATTCACGGAACGCAGACCAATGCTGCACTCATTGCTCAATTCTGGGAACAAGTCTTGCCACCGGCAGTGCAGGAACAAATTGGACGTGAGCCACAGATTCTTCGACATGAAAAGGGGTTGACAGTAACCTTTGCACCGGCTCGAGTCCATGGAGTGATCCCGCCAAGCTCATTTGCTGTCACGCTGTCAGTTCTGGCCTTCCGCACCTTTTTTGACTCAGTTCGGATGATTCACGCAGGACAGCCTACCCAACAGTTTTTCCTGAAGTGGCTTTGTCGACCTCTGTGGGCCGGTGGCATTCCAAACACACTCACAGCAGGCATCATAATCAAGTTGCTGCAACATTCACTGATCCCTACCAACGGAAACACTGAACATCGAATCATTTGTAATGCCAAACAGATCATGCCTGAGATCCTTCTGAGTGAACTTCAGCCAGCAGGAAACAAGAATGCTATTGTCTTCAATGTTGTCATGAAACTCACCGGAGGAGGGGGTAGTACAGGTGCGAAGCATCAACAGAAACTCATGCAACAAGCAGCACTTGCAAGCTACCTGCTTGAACAAGGGTTCGAACTCCAGTGGATCACACATACGGTGGACACTTTGAGCAACAAATTTGGCCTCGCACGAATCCAACAAGTTACTGCCATGCCAGTGGGAACACAAAAGATGTCAGCCTTCAAAGCTTTGCTTAAGGAGGCAGCGATTGCCTTGCCAGATGTCCAGAAACCGCAGACAAAAAAGAATGTACAGAACCTGCCCTGGAAACAGCCGAAGAAACGCAAAGGTGATGCTGACCTGGACCCAGCAGATTTCACCATAGTAGAAGGTTTCTTCAAGAATGCCGATGCCACGATTTGTCAGCAAGCCCAGGTGATTCGACCACAGGCCACAGGTATCTGTCTCATGACAGGTGAACAGGCCACTCCTTGGCTCATGTCATCCGAGAAGATTTCCAGTGATGAGCTTGCAGTACTTGTCCTAGGTAAAACATCAGCTACGACAGTTCCTGGAGAAGATATGGTTGTGCCGTGTCATAATCTGGATGGACAGATGGTTTTGCTGCATTGCAAGCTTTATCAACTGGGCTCCAGGCAAGTCACATGGCAAAAGGGTGACCCCCAGCAGGTCTTGGCATCCAAATGTGTCCTTGTTGCCATCACTCTGCATCAGGCAGATTTCCCGAGCGAGCAGTGGACAGATGCCATCCAGCGCACAGTTCCTTTCATCCGAGCCATCCTAGAGAGTGAGGGTTTGTCTGACAGTGTCCTGAGTATTTGGGGAAGATCTTTCCGTGCAGGGAAAACACCATGTACTCCCATTCAGGCGACTACACTTCAGGTTCATTGCTCAGTTACGGAGGACAAGTTGAAGAAGCTTTTGGCGAAATCTGGTTTCAATCGACTCTTTTGCACTCCCAAAACATCCTCAGGCAGACTGGACACCACATACCAGGTGATTTGGCTCAACTGTGATGAATGCCAGGCAGCGGTTTATACTGCCAAACTTCCCTCTGCCCTGGGGCTCATCAAGGGCAAGAAAACCCTTGGCATTCGTTTTTGTGAGGCAGACTTTGACCAAGCTTGGGGCGTCCTTTGTCCCAACATGCCCAAGCCAACACGACAGGCAGGGGAGAAGGTCTTCAGGATTGATGGATTGCCATTTGGGGTTACCCAGGAAATGATGAAACAATGGGCTGACAAGACTAACTGGAATTGCCATGTCATCCGAGCTCTGGGGCCGCAAGCAATGCTGGTTAGGTCTGATGATGAGCCGCCGAATGGAATCCATTTGTTCAACACACAGCCGATCCTGATACGACACTTGCCACCCAGGAATACCAACGCCCAGACGCTGATGGTGGGGCCGCGCTCCACAAAATCCAGAGATGCAACAACTGAAGCCAACCCAGATCCTTGGGCGAGCTGGACCGGACCAAGGTTACAGGCAGCCCAACCAATGCAGGTCACCAGAAACATTGATGGACCCACAGAAACCAGACTTGCTGCACAGGATGCCAAACTTGCAGGCATTGAATAGCAACTGACCACCATCACGCAGATGCAGGAACAGCATGTCCAGAAGACTGAGGAGAGATTCCAAGCAGCCGAGCATCGGGAAAAACAGCACATTCAGCATGTTGCAAACACCATGGAAGCCATCAGGCAGGACATGGACCGAACGCTGCAAAACTCTTTCCAGAAAAACACCCAGGTGATGGAAGAGCGCTTGTCTGAACTAAAGCAGCTGCTTATCAGCAACAAGCGTACGGCAGATGACATGCAAGATTGACAGAGGCCTAGCTGGGAGCCAGCGAGTGTAGTCTCTGCCTTTTGCCCTCGTTTTGACTCCCATAAGGCCACGACTTGCCAGCATATGTTTCTCATAACTAAAGTTTGGTTGCGATTGCCTAGCAGCAGCATTGGACGGGTGATGAGAAGTTTTGTCATGATGCTGTTTGCAAGCCTTGTTAGTTTCACAACTCGACACAGCATGCAATGCCATTGCAAGTCCATATATTTGCGTAGTTCTGGCCTGCATACACGAGGCAGAGAAGTTTTTGGCCGGGCACGGAACGCTGCAGTTTTACCATGCCAACAAGCTTGGCACTTTTTGTTTCGCATTTTTCATGGCGTTGCTACTGGGCATGACATCCCATCTTGGTCCCATGAATTGCATCCTGATTTTCCGATTGAGTGTGCGATGAGTAAGAGGCCTAGTTCTAGTATGAAACTGTTTATCCAATGCCTTCAAACTAGTAATGTGCCATTTTTTGCTCGTCCTTATTTTGTTTGCCTTAAATGTTCAGTCCGATACCTGCAAACATTGAGGGACCATAACTACGAATGTACAGTTTTGATAAGCCAGGGCATTTTGCCAAAACAAGTTGCCACACATGACCAGCATCGAGCCTGCAGGATTGGAGAGGCCCAAAATCCGGGGCCTGATCAACACCAGCTCATTTGTGCCATCACTAACCCAACATCGATCGTATCTAAACCCAACCAATATGCTGCACTGATCCAAAAGCATGGTCTTGGCCTATTCAGTGCAAGTGAAACAGCAGCAACCGCCATAGTTCAGCGACAATTCTCTGGTCAGATGAGGCGTCTCCACTTCCGATCATTGTGGTCTGTACCATTGCCTGATCGTGTGGAGCGCTCTGACCATAAACCGTCCTTTCGGGGTAAGGCTTCTGGAGTGGGACTCTTCAGCTGTTGGCCCATCCGGGCAATCAAAAATACCCTTGATGAATCCTTTGTTGCGATGTCTAGGATAGGCCACTACCTTTTAGAACTTGGACATTTTCAACTTCAAATTGTTGTAATCTATGGGCATGCCCAATCAGGCATGGATAAGGCCAACTTGGAACTCATCAAAGCTGCCCTGAAGGCAGTGGACCATTTTCCACTTCCATTCATTTTGCAAGGTGACTTTAACTGTGATCCCATCCAACTCCTAGGAGACGAGGCCAATCGCATGCATTTACTTGACTTGCAGCAGATTCATCACCGTTTACGGGGCTGCCCTATGCCAGCCACTTGTAAGGGCATCACGACACCAGACAATGCAGTTTTCAGCCCCCAAGCTGCAGCCCTCATCCGTGGGGTTGAAGTCTGCCCACCAGGTGATTTTGACACGCATCAGGTTGTTTTGTACAGGCTTGCTCTCCCAAGCGATGATATGCCAACATACCATATGCCAATGCCGCGCACATGGATTGACTTGCAAATTGATCCCAAGCACATGCAAAAGGCCTATGAACTGGCCCTGACCACGAGGGACCAGCCTGCCACCTTGCAAGCCTGGGGGGAAACGGTTGAACTTGCAGTTGATTGGGCCTACAGACACACACAGTATGACTTAGGGGTTCCGTGGAGCCAGACCAAACCACTGCCAAAATCCCACCGAGGGCGATGTAAACCACGCAAGCCGGAAAAGACCACTAGGGTTTTACTCACTAAGCAGGCCAGACCTGGAGATTTTGCACCATTTGATGAAATCATCCGTAGGTCCACGCAGGCTAAAGTCAAACAGGTGAGAAGAGTGCAAGCCTTGCACTCCCGACTCTTGAAGGCACAAAAAACTGCCACCTTTGACGGCTGGACGGAACTCCAACTGGAATGGTTTGCCATCCTTCGATCCAGGGCTTTCGGGAAGTGTTTTGTTCAATGGTGCCAAAATACGCCTGAATTGGGGCCACCGCCCTTGACATGCCCTGATATGGAATACTTGAGCACCATGTTGCAACTGCTGCGGCACCTCACAACAGCGGAAGTTGCCTTTGACCAGGCCATCCACCGTGATCGCCAAAAGTATCTACAGATGCTAGACCGAAAGTACAGAGGCAATAAGCAGGCCTTTGCAAGTGTCAAGGAACCTCCGATGCCATCCTTGGTGGAAATGAGACAGGTTTGCTCTGAAGAAGTCATTGCAGTATCTAATAATGACGGCACCCACACTGTATACTGTGATAATCCCCATCAATTTAGTCTTGCATGCCCCGCCAAATTAAATGAGACGCCATGTCAAGTACTGGAAGTGGAATCCATGTCCATTCAGGTCAAGCTATGCCAGCCCTTACCAGATAGCGCAGAAACATGCACCTTGATGCAAGAGACTTCACATGCCAACCCGACTGCCATCCTGCAAATGCTTAAGGATTTCTGGGTCCCATATTGGAATTCTAACCAAAATATTCCCAATAGCGATTCACAGTTTGAGCAATTTTTGCAGCAGCTCCCACAGGTGCTCCCGGCACCGGCATTGGACATGCAATCCACATCAGGGTGGATGGAGGCGGTGACACGTCTGAAGGTGCCTTCCGCTAGGGGTACTGATGCCATTTCATCCCAGGAATTGCAACAACTCCCAGAGTTGGCCATTGAACACTTGAAAGATATCATCAATGAAATGCCAAATGGCTTTCCGCCAGACTTCATGACAGCAATCACAATACCTGTCCCAAAAGTCTTTGAAATCCCTATGGCTGGACAAGTTAGGCCTATTACCATTTTACCCCAAATATACCGCTTGTGGGCCAGGGTTTGTGCCAAGCAACTCCTAGCTCACTATGCCCAGCACATGCCAGCGGAGGTGTGCGGTTTTTTGAGAGGTAGAGGGCCAGCAGATGCCTACCTCCGGCAGCAGTTTCATATTGAACTTTGTCACTGGCGACAGCAGCATATGGCAGGCATTTCAATTGACCTACTTAAGTGTTTCAATACAATATCCCAAAAGGTTGTGCGCAAAGCTTTCCTATGGGCTGGGATACCCACGGAACTGGTCCAGCAATGGGCACACTCCTTGCGCTGTTTATCTCGCATTTGGAAACTAGGTGCTACATGTACACCGTGCATACCCACTAGCCACGGCGTGCCGGAGGGGGATTCATGGAGTCTGGTTACTATTGTAGTCTTGGCCTATCTCTGGATACTCTATACCAAAGGACAAGCCCCTACATGCTTCATGTCTGCATATGCTGATAACTGGGCTTGGGGTGCAACACGACCACAAGACCACCATGCCATCTTGAAATGCACAACAGAATATGTCAAGCTGACCCATATGGTCATTGACTGGACCAAAAGCTGGGCATGGGCCACAACATCGGATCAATATATTGCTCTGCGTGAGGTGCTTCAGACATGGCCATGTGCACAGGACCTTCAACGGCGTTTAGCCGCAATGGACCTTGGTGCTCAACTGAATTATCAAGGGAGCCCTACCTTGGGTAAATTCAAAAATAGGTTGGAAAAAGCACATGCACGGCTACTCAGACTGCAGCATGCCATTTTGCCACTCAGTATAAAAACTCAGCTCATTAAAGGGGCGGTTTTTCCAGCGGCATTTTATGGGTCTGAAGTGATTCCCTTGGGTGAGTCACACACCAGACGGCTTCGAACTGCCATGAGCAATGCAGCTCTAGGACCATCAATAACCCGCAATCCTGCGCTGGCGATCCTGGCTATTCCTGGCCTTAATGATCCCCAACTAGAAGTCATTTTAAGAGCTGTCCGGGCGATGCGTAGATTTGCAAACAACCTAGATGAAACAGAGCGACTCTTGCTGTTCAAGATGATTGCGTGCCATTCTGGCCTATCATACAAATGTAAGGGGCCTGCCGGATGTTTAGCTTTTTACTTGTCCAAGTTGGGGTGGCGCTGTACAAGCCACGGGGAGATCCAGGTGCACCCAGCACTTAAGCTGCCCCTTCGAACAACTAGTGCCAAAATTTTTGCCAGACATGCCATGTTTGCATGGACGCAAGATGTGATGCTCACATGTAGTGACCGTAGAGAGCTCAGGATGTTGCAGCCCAATGTACCGGATACCAGACAAACCCTTGCCAGTTTTAATGACATTGAGCAGCACCATTTAGCACAGGATCTTTCCTTGTCTTTCCAGACTGAACATCAAAAAAGCAGATGGGCTCAAGATGCCACGGGCCTATGTTTGTATTGTGGTGAATGCGACTCCAGAACTCACCGTATTTTCCATTGTGCAGCAGCATCCGATGCCCGTGTACCTTTTGCTGATACCCTTGCCTGGTGTTTAGAACAAGGGACCGAGTTTGCTGAATTTCCTTTCCTGCTACATCATCCTAACCAGGAGCTTCTGATGCACTTGCACTATTGCCAGCCAGAGGCTACCATTGATGATAACATGCGATACCGCTTGGAGGAGCTTGTAAGATTGGATTCCACCCCAATTTTTTACACGGATGGTTCCCTGAGGTACCCTAACTCTGTCACCTGTAGATTTGGGGCATATGCTATCATCTTGGATACCGCTATAAGTGATGAACAGAGACTTGATTTGGTAAAAAACTGGAAGTTGACGCAGGCTTTCCCATTCACCTTGACGAAATTGGCATTTGCACGGGTCACGGGGGAACAAACCATTTATCGTGCTGAACTCTATGCCATTGTTTGTGTAACTGAATGGACCCCAGCTTCAGTCATAAAAACTGATTCAGCTAGTGTTGTTGCCACATTCCTCAAATGCCAGATCACTCACAATTTCCATGAACTTGGACAGATGGAGGAGATGGATTTGGTGTGGAGATTATGGAACGCACTCCGACAGGGAAATCATGTCATCCATAAGATCAAAGCACACCAAGAAGTTAATGTTGGTCACACACCACTGGGAATTTATGACATACTGGGAAATAGATACGCAGATGAAACTGCAGTGTCAGCAGCGCTTCATTTTCAGCCGGAGGTGGCACAGTTAGCCACACAAATTCATGCAGAAGTCACCAGCGAGCAGGCACACCTGAAGCAGTTTTTTCGACTTCTTCTTGATCTGAGGCAACACTTTGCTAAACTCCAACAGAATGAGGCAGCCACAGCAGGCCAAGTGGACCTGCAACCCAGCAATAAACCTTCACCGCAGCAGGTCATGGGGGATTGGAGTGTTCAGGAAGTTTGGGTTCCGCCACCCCCAGGGGTTGAATTTTTCCAGTATTCACCATGGGGGCAACCAACGTGCCAACTCATTTTGCAATGGATGCAGCTGATACAGTGGCCAGCTGCAGAGCAAATACAGGAAGGGGACCCGGGCATTAGCTGGACGGAACTTGTTTTGTCGTTTACAATTTGGGCTAAGATGGTTATTCCCTTAAAGCGCTCCACCCCGCAGCGTGGAGAGTATTTACAAACCTTCGACACTTGGGAAGCTGTGAATAGTTTTGCCATTGGCCTTGGTGAATTGTCCAGTAGCTTCTCTATCCTGGTGCAACAGGTTCGGAGACTAACCACATGTGACCCCTGGCCCAATCGGGCCCAGGGTTGGGTGCGCAGCCTGTACCAACTTGGGGCGAAGAATCAACCATTTGGCTACAAACAACGGCCAGTAATCCCAGAACAGCGCGCGGTTGTCAGATACTTACACTGGTATTTTGGGCAATACTCCACTTACGATCAATTCCCGCCAATTGCTGGTATTGAACTTGGCAGGGTCAATCCTGCGAATATGGCGGCCACATGGCAGAAGGGGCTACGACTGGCCGCAAAGGGCTACAATGTGGCGAAAACTTGGAGGCGTCAGCCTCAGCGTGGCTTACAGTTTTGAGGTGAATCTACGTTTCAGCATGGACACCCAGTCCCACGAATAGTCGGGCTGGGCTCTCTGATCGGCGTAAAACGGGTAAATTATAACGACCTCACTGCGACCTCACTGGAATCATGGTTAGTAAGGGAAATCATCCCCAAATGGCCTTAAATCAGGTTAGTGAAATATTATAATTTACCCAGATAGTATGACAAACCCAATGATCAACCCTTTGTTTGGGCTCGTTTTCAATCTTCTCCCGCTGGCTAAAATGGTGTTTTCCGTGAAGGTCAGAACAGCAATTGTCTTCCAAACAAGGACAGTCCGATAGAATAATTTCTGGTATAAGCTAATATGGGGATAAGTCAATACCTATATGGGGAGTTGCGCTGAGTACCAACCTCCCAAGGACGCGCGACGCAAGTTGAAGAGGTGACAGAGACCGAAGTGAAAGTGGATCCCGTGGAAAAGCTGTGCCTTGCCCTTGCTTTGCTTATCTTCCAGGCAATTTTGGAGGTTTCCTGACATGGAGGTACCCCCAAATCATCCATGTTTATAGTGTTTTTTCCATAATAAACCATACATTATACATCTGTGTGAACCCCCATTTATGGAAACCCCTAATTGTCTAATATTGTCTACACATCTTCGTGTGAAGTCCATTTAGTTTCTTGTAAGTAAATCCATGTCGGAGTCATTGATTTGGCTGAAGTGCAGAAGGTGACTACTTTGGGATTTTGTGAGCAACTTCAGCTGGCCTAGGGTGTGGAGCTGTGCAGGTTTGTCCATCGCCAAGGTGTGCAAAGCTTCCCTTGCTCACGGGCCGAAAGAATCACACGGAAGAAAGTTTGGATTTTAAGGTGCCCTGTACGGTACCTGGACATGGGGGGATTGTGGCCAGCAAGTTATGGCTATTGCTGGTGGGGCAAATGACGACTAACCACTGGACACACCCATGGGGCTGTTGGGAAAAGCGCCGAAAGCAAATCAACGCGCATTTCGTCAAAGCCCCTGTGATGGGTAGGTAGTTTCCTGTAGGAGCCCACCATTTTGCAATGTCGCTGATCCAGAACATATTTTACATGGTGTAGGACAACAATTGCGCTTGTCAGACAAATCAGTCCAAGATAAGGTGCCTCAAAACCTCATGGTTTATCATACTTTGCCATACTTTGCCCATGTTTTGATGGCCACAGATTGGATAGCCCGGATATTTGCCCAGTCTCACTGCTCTATTTGCCTCACTTCACTTCTGCTATGTTCATCCAAAGAATCCAAGTTTTTTTTTGTGATTTCCCATATGGCTATGGATCAATACCTATTAATACCATTTTTAGGGGAATGAACATCCATAAATCCCAGCTATTTTGATGTTCACCAGGGGTACTATTGGTTTTGACACACTGCCAACTAAATCCACCTCCTCTATAAATCCAAACTGGTTCTCCCATGTTTTTCCAAGGGAATTTCCAGCTGCTCCAGAAATCTGTCGCAGGTGCTGGGCTCCAAAGTTGGAACCTCTGTGGAGCTGACTCTGCCTCCACTGCAGCAGCTGGAAGCTGCAAGCTTCGTTGGAAAACAACGGAAACTCCAACAACTCTATGGTGGTTGACCATAGGAATGGTGTTTCTTACCCCACACAAATGGTGTTTGTAGCCATCAAACATGGTGTTTTCCATGTTTCACCCCATAGATTTAAGTACGTTTACCATTTTTTGTTGTATTTGGAGGGTCTATAGGTAGATATCAATGCACCACCTTATGATATCATATGGATTCTTATGGGGGTTTGCCACAGAGAAATTCTTAAGAAAGAAATAATTTATCCTCCCGACTAGTGGATGATGTTGATATAGATTGGATATTTAACATAGTGACATGGTGAAGAATCAAACCTCTCACCGTGATACCGTGGAAACCGCAATCTCAGATTGCGCAAAGATATCAAGATTGAAACGTCATAGCCTCAGTGCACTCTGAGTATCTTAAAGCTGGCCATGAAGGTCAAACACACTCCGGTCAGAGGGGCTATGACGATCCATAAAATCTGAGGATTGTCCTGCAGGATCCTGCAGGTATTCAATAGTTTTACATCTGGTTGGTGGTTTGGAACATGAATTTTATGTTTCCATATATTGGGAATACAGTAATAATCCGAACTGACTAATATTTTTCAGAGGGATTGAAACCACCAACCAGACAGTCATTTATCCTTCGTTTCAGACGTCTGTTGCACCAGAACCGTCTTCACTCCAAAGTATCTCTGTCGTGATCTCAAGCGCCGCTGTCGTCGAGGTATTGGCAATACATGCGGGGGAAAGGCAAGACTCTGAAACTGGGCTCAAATCATCATTAATCATCTGAATACTTTCCATATATCTAATATCATAATATCTAATTAGTCAATTAATATCCATATATCATATATCTAATTAATATTGTCCATATTATTATGTCAATTAATATCTAATTACAATCATCGAGCTTGGCACTGACTTTTTCTCCCCCGATTTGCAGGTTCGAAACAGAGCATTTTGGGGTAGTGCGGTACTCCCATATATGGAAACCCCAAGATTTGGCTATTGGTACATATCCCAGATGCTCCATGGTGCTGGAATCTTTACCATTTACCCTAAAAATGCCAAAAAAAAAATGGGTATTTTTTTCATAGATGGAGCATCTGGGTATGTTACATGTTTTTTCAACATGGTGTGTGTTCTCATAAAAGGGGATGCTCATTCCACAGAGCCATGATCCCGAAATTCCCATGGGATGAGCCATGTATCATGGCACCGGAAATTCCGAGGTTTACCCAGGTTTGAAACATCTTGAAAGCCTTAAGGTGGCGGTGACATATCTATATAATTATATAATATCATATAATATCTATATAGTTCCTATGAGTTACTATTGTTAATGGCGGTTTTACAACAAGTTTGGTCATTGGGTCCAACTTCAAGTGTTGGCCAAGCCGCCAGTCGCCTGGCCTGTCGCCTGGCCAGTCGCCTGGCCAGTCGCCTGGCCAGTCTCCGCTAGGCGAAAGCGAGAATTGCCCAAGTTCCAATCCAATGCTGATAGCTTGGTGACAGCCAAGGTACCATGAGTTGGATGGGATGGATTGGCCAGGAATATGCAATGATTCAATGATGAATATGGGCATGTACATCCATTGTTGAGGCGTATTTGGCCATGAACGTGTTTGCTTTTTTGGTGGCAATGGTGATTTCGAACGTCAGAGTTCATAGGTCGCACGAAGGTCCATGTGAAGACAAGTTTCCTCTTGAGATTGGCCCCATTCTATACTATTTATATACCAGGCATTAGCGCCATCCTGTAGTTGCCAAATTACTCCAGCATGAGTATGCATATTCTCTCAGATAGAGGTAATTGTGCAGTCGCACAAAACCCGGATTTCTTTTGTGGAAGGTCCTTGAGTAGTGGAAACTGCATGCGTTTGGGATCCAGCATGATCACAGTGTGTGGAGGCCTGCTAGACAAAGCAGGTTGCTGATCTTGGACCATTCTTCAGCATGTTTCGACATGTTGCAACACCAGTTGCTGGTTCTAAAGATGTATGATGTGTTATTTCCCTTACTACCCTAGAACTGGGATGATGGTCCCAGCATGTGGGTATGGGTCCATACCTACAATTTTAGCGGGATGAACATCCATAAATCCCAGCTAGTTTGAGGTGAACGAAATAAGGTACCAGCGTGCCATGTCCCATCCCCATGTCCGGCTCCAGGAACAGGCAGCCGAAGCCGCCTTGTCCAGTCTCTTCCGAATCGTGGACACGCGCTTGTCCAGCAGTATCTGTGGCCAATTCATATATATATATATAGACTAGCAGTTAGCTATTTAACATGGCACATTAAATTCGTTGCTTTACTTATTAAAGATGGTGATTTTCCGCAAACTGTTAGTTTCTTGGGTATTCAGGTCACAACATGAATTCAGTAAAGCAGCACCAAAGATACCAAAGGGACACCACAGCCATGGCCCAAAATGAGGTAACAACCAGGCCTTTGCCCGGGTCATGGCTGGCATTTTCAATGATGGCGTGGAAATTGCTCAGATCCGAGTCTTGGCGTTTTCCGGTGCAGGTGCCGGTGGTGATTTTCTTGGGATCTACATGTCATGTAGATCCATGACGGTTGGGTTTATGTTATAATGCTGAGATCTACTGCATCAATCCAATTTACTGTCCCATAGGATCCATGTATGGTATATATATATATGAGTATGCTAACATTGGGGGTATATTGATGGGATCCATGTCACCATATATGGCATACATCAATCCAATTTACTCTTGATATATCGAAGGATTCACGGTGTCTATGAACCACCTATCGGACCTATCGCACACCGAAGAGGCACAGCACCTTGCGAAGGGCTGCCTAGGGGAGAATTGGGGATGTGGTTCATGAGAGATGATTTCCCTGACGATATTTGATGGTCCCATGTGGGTATGGATCAATACCTATTAATACCATTTTTAGTGGGATGAACATCCATTTACCAGCTATTTTGATGTTCACCAGGGGTACAAGGTTTTGACACACTGCCATGTGTTTACTTCCCATTGGTTAGTCCATTGTTTGGGGAACCTTTCAGGAATAATGTGCATCTTTTTCAATGGTGCATTAAGCAAATCAACATGTTTGTTCAACCAAGACATAACGGGCATAACGGGTGATGAGGAGTTTGAATGATTTAGCCAACAAGCCGGGGATGCAACAACTAATCAAAGATTACAAAACGGATCAAAACGGTTTGCGTGATGTCACAGCTCAAAATGGGATCCCGTGTGTTTCCGACTGGCAACTGGTTTGAAGCCATAGCTTATTAGATACTGAAGTGGGATGCAACCCTAAGTCATCTTCATCTATTCCATTGTTTTCCTGATTAAACCTTTATAAACCCTCCATAACAAAATGGGCACAAGTTGGGGATTCATCTCCCATGCTTCGCTCGCTTAGCTCAGGATTTCCCGCGATCGATGAAACTCAGAGAAGTCCAGGCGTGGGGACCACGGAGAAGTGCCGGAGAAGCCCACGGAGAGCTTCGCGTTTCTCTATGAACGGAAGATGGATAGTAATGGTTAGTATATGTTAACCCAACTAGATGATTACCCTCCAGTAAACTCTAACATAACTATGGAAGCCATGGGATTTAGCCATGGTTCCACCCCCTAAGTTTGGAAGGTTTTTCATAGGGACAGTGATTCTTGAGCAATCGATGTTGGGGGTTACCCTATTTTCAGACAAAGCCATATCTGGTTGGTGGTTTGGAACATTTTTTATTTTTCCATATATTGGGAATAATCATCCCAACTGACTTTCATATTTTTCAGAGGGGTAGGTATACCACCAACCAGATAACTATGGAAAGATCCACCATTTTACAGCTGGGTAAATCAACTATTTCGACTGGGTCATTTTCCAGTCCGTAAACTGTTAGTTTACCAGGCCGGGTAGTCTAAACAATGTCTAAACCAACAAAAGTTGGATTTTGAGGAAAAGCAGGATCTTTTTTGCGGCTGGAGTTTGATCTTTCTGAAATCACTTCGAGATTGTTGGGTAGAGACCTTTCCATCTGGGAAGCATCACTTAAAAGGTTCACAGTTTGATCCCGTCCGAAAAATAAGATGTTTTTGTATGTTTTTGTAGTCAGTTGCGGGGTCACAAATTGAAGATCTATAAGAGAAACCACGTGGCGAAAATATCCTAAATTGACAAAGGTGAATGGCATTTGGTGCAAATCACATGACCAAACTTCTGGTGATTCCAAAAATCGGTAAAATCGGTGCCCTCCCCCCAGTTGTGTTTGTTGGTTTAATACCAACCCATACCAACCCTCATACTGTAGTTACTATAGTGAACTAAACCAACTTAGGTAACAAGAATAATTAACTATAGAACTTGGTGTATAAATGCCATTCACTTTTGGATCCTAAAGTGGATGTGGGTCAAAACCCTGTACCCCCAGTGAACCTCAAGGTTGATGGTCATCCCTTATACCACATGATTAGTAGGTTTTGACCCATACCCAAGTCATAGAACTACTGTCCCAACAGTTACCATGGCAGGCAACTTCCTCTACGCCTTGGCCTACCTCGCGCGGCAGGTTTCCGCCGAGGCCCCGAAGCGGATCCTGACGGCCTGCCACCTGCGGCGCCTCCGGGACCGACCGGACTGGCTGCAGGGCTTCGTGCAGCAGAAACAACGCGACCCGGCGGAAACGCCATGGGAAAAGATGGATTTGGCCCAGCGTTTTTCCAGGGTTTTTTCCATGAAAAAATGCCTCTGTGAATGTTTTAATAATGGGATTATAGGGGTTATACTAATTAATTGGATACTAATTGGATCTAATTGCTTTACAGGGAATGATTATAGCCCATACTGGGAAGGTTGACGAACCAATTGAGATGGGACAGGGCGAGGGATATATTTTTGGCTCGGTAAGGGTTGAAGAGATGGGACCAAAATGAAGAGATTAAGTGTAGGATAGAGTAGGGAATGTTGAGGCTTTCACTTTTTGGGAATCTAACATGGCAATTTCGAGATTGCCAGGTTTTTTCTTTATTTTTTATGGTATGTATATATATATAAATATTATATATATATATGATAAATGGTACTATCATGAATTCTCATTAGCAACCACCTCTCAAAAAAACCCTGGATGAATGGTGGATTTGCGCATTTGGGGGTCAGTTCATCCAGCACCTGGGGGTCACAGTGTACCAATTCTATGGAGCTACCAGCACCCACCTTCGAGTTGTAGCCATGCACTTCGTTTTTTTTTGTGGGTGCGAGGAAATTAAAATTGTGACATGTTCCATCGGTCGATTCCCAGAGGTGCAAACTTGCTTCAAGACCTACCATGTTGTTGAGGATTGGAGGATTGGTTGAACTATTGGTGACTGTTCAACAGAAATTTAGCTATGTATTACCATGAGCGTATCATTCTGTTGGAATCTGACAAGAACTAACCAAGAGAAGGATGCAGAAGGGGTATACTGGGAAACATGTGATATAGTCAGGAAGAAATGATTCTATATTATTCCCTTGTTTCGAGATCGAATTGCCTGATTTGAAGTACAAGATAAGCAGGGGCTGGGAGAGTGCAGCGGTTTCATCTCAGGATTGGTGATGCCACAAAACACCAGCATTTTGTCCGTCTCTGCCGACACGCAGCCCAATAACCTGGCAGCGTATATGGAGAAGGTGACTTGTTTGCGATGGCTGTGGTTGAAAATTGGTTAGACCATCCAAGAGGCATCTTTAATGGGGAAGATTATGATCAAGTCCCATAGGATCCATGGTGCTGCTATATATGGTAACATGGATCCCATCAATATACCCCCAATGTTAGCATATATACCATACATGGATCCTGCGGGAATGTAGTTGATTTCGTGTTTTTACACAATGTTCGATAAACCATATTTTTGTTTTCTTGATGATGAAGCCACTAACATGGATATATCACGCGTAGAGGTTTGAGTGATGTGCAAATAGGTATATAGTTAATCAATACTATTCATCTACCAAGAAAGGTGACTCAAGCAAGGGAATTTTTTCTGACATGACAACCATGGGTAAATGACAACAGGGGGATATCTTTGCAGCCATGTCATGAATTGTCTGATCCATTCTGATCCCATGTTTTTTTTAGGTGCAACATATTTCCCCGAAGATTTTTGTACCCTTGGAAGCCAGATGATCCCTGCATAATTCTAAACTCAGATCCTATCGTTTCTGGAGAAATGTTTTGGGCATCCTTGCGAACCTGCTTGGTTGACACTATGTTAATGGTGATAGCAGAATCACAATGATATATGTAATCGAAAGATGGAATGAACAAAGACAGAATGCGATTGACATTGACAACACAGTGATCATCATGTGATGACAACAACTATTCCCTCCGGTAATCAAAGATGGCAGCGGCAAATGTGTTTTTTTTGTTGTTCATGTTTTTCCTATCGAAACCTCCATTTCTAGAGGATTTCCCAGCTAGCCATGATTGACAGCACCCCCAAAGGTCCTGGTTCCCCCGGCCGCAAGGCCCTGCGGGAGAAAGGTGCGGTGAAGCTTCAGCTTGCAGGAACTAAGTCGGCGGACCAAGCGTTGCTGGCATTGAGGGATTTGAACCTCCAGTATTCGCATCTCGACTGGGGCTCTGGGGCACCACTTGGTGGATCATGCTGCTGAACTATTTAGTGGTTAATAAATGTTAATAACTCTGAATCTCCAGAGTTCTGGCGCTGAACTATAGGGTGGTTAATAACTCTTAATACCCTTTGGTAAACTAACATAGCTATTGAAAATGGCCATAGACATAGTGAGTTTTCCCATTTAAAAATGGTGATTTTCCATAGTTATGTTAGTTTGCCGGAGGGTAACCATAGTTATATACAACATGTTATAACATTTTACAACCCATCCATAAATGGGATAACCGTAAGTTCCTTGCTAATAACCAACAGGTGATCGGTTTTGTTGTCCCCATTTCGTGACTTCACCCATCTATAAATGTGGGACCCCCCAGTGATGTGAATGTTGGTTTATAACCCCTATGAATACTATAGTTAGAAGTATCATGAACCGTAGTGAAATTGGAGTTATGTGAACCCCAACTTAGCTATCTGGGGGGCCCCACATTATATAAATATGCTACTTCCCCTTCACCCTAAAATGTCAAAAAGCACCAGTCGCCACCCTTTTCGCGGCGACTATCCTCCAGTCGTACCGACTGCGTCTGAGGCACCGCTTCTGCTCCTACTTCATGCACGGCACCTTTCAGAATGCCACAGGTCTCGAAGTGCACGTGGCAAGGAGGTGGCAGCCCCTGACCTGAGGTGCTTGCAGGGATGGGGTCATGTCCTGCCCAAAAAAAGACTGGGTGGAGAAGCATTGAGGACTATCAAGGTCAACTAGTTTCATGGTTGGAAACATGTTGAAATATGTCGAATCTAATATAAAAAGATCAAACAGTGGTGCAATATGGATTAATATGGACCATGAAAGTTGGGATATATGAGGATGTTTTCTCTCCAAACTCTGAAACTGATCGAGTTTAGGACTGGGGACCCCGAGGGGGTTATGCACATCTATACAATAGATGCAACTGATGGTCACACGCTGGATTACTGTAGATTCCAAGCTGTTCTAGTCCTTCAGGTGTTTAACTCACCTACAAACAGTTTCTTGGTTTATTTTCGAAATGGGATATCCACTACTTGGGGAATCTATATAGGAAATTATATTTTGTTTATGTTTTTCTTTTAATTTTATTTTTTGGGGGGTTCCTTAAGCACATCCAAGATTTGTTCTGAATTCTGTGAACTTCAGGCATGAAAAACGTTGCAAACTTACGGATCCCTAAGATCAAGCATTGAAGCCATGGAGTGCAGGTGCAGGGTACAAAGAAGCCTTGCGAAGGACCCGATTTCGGTCAGAAAATGGCGGTGCAAGCGCAGGGCATTGGTGAGTCGGAGATATGCATTTTTTTTGAGTGATGTGTATTGTTAAATGACAGGTTTGGAACATGTTTTATTTTTCCATATATTGGGAATAATCATCCCAACTGACTTTCATATTTTTCAGAGGCGTTGGTCAACCATCAACCAGTATTAATAAACGATAGGTTGATGGCTTATGGACTTTGTTCTTTTTGTTGTTGATGGAGCAAGACACATCAAAAAAAAATGATGGCTTCGCCAATGCCATGGTCACCATCCCATCCACCATGACTGGGGTACTAACCCTCCAATCATTACCCTCTGGTGAACTAACATAGCAATGGAAAATGGCCATGTATAGTGGATTTTCCCATGAAAAATGGTGATTTTCCATAGTTATGTTAGTTTACCAGAGGGTAACCTCTATTGGAGATGGTTTATTATTGTATTTACCACATGAAGTTTCATATGCTGCTGTAATGTATCTAAGATATCTAAGGTTACAATGTGAGACTTGGGCGGCAGGAGCGGCGACTTCAGCACAAGCACAGCAGCTTCATTCTGGATCCAGTGTTTGAAATACCCTCTGGTGTCATCAAACATGGCTTGTGGAAAATTCACCATATAGATGATGTGCCCATGTAAAGAAGTGGATTTTCCAGGCAGCCATGTTTCATTTCGGGTAAATTGACATGATCAAAGTCGGAAAACATGCTGGTCAAAATGGTCATTTTCTTGGCTGTTGTATGTTTTTCGTTGACAGTTCCATGACAGTTCCATGCAGTTATGGCCATTTACCAGTTATAACTGGTTATAAATGGGATTCTACATTCTATCAATGGGGTTTTCTTAGTACTTATAACTAATAAATGGCCATAGTTCCATGGGTCAATTCATATCGGTTAAGCCAAAGATTCATTGCCGGCACCACTCAACGGTGCGCTTGGTGCGCGTCAAGTCACGGTGCGAACGCTGTGGTAGGTGGAGCTACAAGGAGCATGCCCTGATGTTTGTGGACCGTATGCCACCTGGCGGTTGAGACGAATGTCGTGCTGGTGATGTTTTTTCGTTACGACTCTGGAGAATTTTGGTATTTTTATGGGGAACCTATATGGGAATATATGGATGGAAGCAAGAAATCGAGTGCCCTCAAAGCTGGGATGGACATGTGCGATTTAATAGGAAAACACATGATAAGCCAGTGGATGTAGGGTAATTATATGTAATTATCGTATTTTACTTTACAAAGCCATGTGTTTGTTCTTTACCCCCAAAAAAAACATAAACTGGTTGGTGGTTTGAAACATGATTTTTATTTTTGCATATATTGGGAATGTCATCATCCCAACTGACTTTCACTCCATGATTTTTCAGAGGGGTAGGTCAACCACCAAGCAGTAAAACACATGTTCGTTTTGAGCCATTGTTGAAGTTTTTTCTCATGTGCTAAGCTGAGGTTTGCTTATGACTTGGGTCCTGTACTCTTCAAGCCGGCAGAGGCGCTTCTGAGCCCTAAATCCAGTGGCCGGTGGTAACCTCAACATGGGGACCATCTTAGGCACATCCCAAAGGGTTTGCCTGAAGACACAAGGTGGTGCCCCAGCTCGTTAGCTAAGTCGGTGAACATAACTCCAATAACTATGGCTTATGACGGCTTATGGTAGATTTATCTATAGTATTCATTCAGTTTATAAACCAACTAACATCACTGGGGGGGCACCACCTTGTATGCTATCCAATATGGGCATCCCTAAATCCAGCGCTTTATCCGAAAAAAATGGTGATGCAATGGTGATGAAACTCCCGGCTCCAGCCCCAGACAAAAAAGAACCTCAGAGATATGTCCAACAAAAACCAAGAAACAGCAGCCGAATACAGGGAATGCACTATCCTCATGACTTCTATAAATTCTATAACTTTATGAACACTTGCGACTTGCAGCTCTTCATTTTCAGCAGGAAGGCTTTTTCAAAAACCAGTCCTCAGCAGCTTGGTTCGGATCGCCATGTCGGAAGCCAACAAGGAGGAGATCGAGAAGTGCAAGCAGATTCTTGGGTTTGTCTTATGGTATTTTGATGGTTTTTTGATCATGAAACCTATGGGGGTAATGATCATGAAAGCAAGTTGCTGTTTGGATCTGTTTTGCTTCTTTTCTGTTGATATTGTTTGCACATGTTTGCACATATGCTTGATTTCTTGTTTGCACAGTTTATCATATATTATATAGTTCCCTATTAATCCACCATGTTTATATATCCACTTGTTTTTTGTGTGTGATATTAAGCTTTATTGATTACTTTGTTGCACAGCGTCTCATATTTTCCAGCTACTCTAAATCCACCATGACTATCCATGACTTGGAAATCTACTCTTGTGCCCAGGTCTATATCTTATTGCCAAACAATTGCCTAAGATGACCATTTATTTGCCGAACATGTGTAGTTCTCTATCATAGATTTGAACATCAGTTAACATTAACGCCCTTCCCAAATTAGTAATTGATCAATCCATTTATCCATTTATATCCAGATGGTCATCAATCCTAACATGTTCCATTTGTGAATTTTCACATCTTTAGGATTGAAATTTCCAATCTACTTGGGATTTCACCAATCTGGAAAAAAAAAACGACCTCACTGTTCTCCCTCACTGGAATCATGTTTAGTAAGGGGAATCATCCCCAAATGGCCCAACATTTCAGGTTGGTGAAATATGATAATTTACATGCATTTACCATATATAAGGCCTATTTGTTTAGGCCTAAATTTCAGTGAATATCCCCACAACATATGGCCTTATACTATCTTATACTTCTATGGTACAGTACCCTCTGGTAAACTAACATAACTATGGAGGAATCACCATTTTTAATGGGAATATCAACTATAAATGGCCATTTTCAATAGTTTTTTGTATGTTTACCAGGCCGGGTAGCTACATTTTAGGATCCTGAAGATCTCCCATTGACCCATGGTCGACCGCATCTTGGGGAATCCCAAGCGATCCAGAGAGAGATCCAAGGATTGCGCAAGCTGCACTGGCGGCTGGAGATGTTGGGGACCTCAGTCAGTGGTGTTAGCTTAGCGTTGCTTAAAAAAATATTGGGTGATATAGGACTTTATTATAGGAGATTCACTAGGAGAAAACATATCAGGATATCTGGGATATAATAGTTACCCTCTGGTAAACTAGCATAGCTATGGAAAATCACCATTTTTAATGGGAAAACTCACTATAAAAGGCAATTTTCAATAGCTATGTTAAATTGTCAGAGGGTAATGTTGCTTATAATTATGGCCAAATATCTTGGATTAACTGGGGATCATAGGACTTGAGTAGGAGATTCACTAGGGGGATTTTTAGACTTGCTATATAATGTTACAATAATCTTACTTAATTAATATTATCCCAATATATATATATCCCTGTATATGATAATGATATTGATAATTATATAATTTACCATCTCTTTTCTGGTGAACCCCCAATCTCTTGGTGATTTCATGCCCACCGTTTGATGGTCGCCGAGGCCGAAAAAGCATCTCGCTTCCTTCAGAAGGCCAAGCGCATGTGTCCAACGGACACATCCATCGATGACCTCCTAGCCAAGGCGGGAAAGAGACCAGGGACAGGACTATCGCCCAAAATGTGGTGCTTGATCCTTGAAGAGATGGGATGTTTTTAGATTTACCATGATTTACCCAGGACAAGTCATGATAGAAATGGGGATTTAAGTTGCAAACACCATGACTGAACTGAGTCATTTTGCGCTTTGGTTATTAGGCAACTTGGGGATCAATGACCAGTCAAAGATGTATGTGCAAGCCTTGGGTTCAAACATGTTCAAAACCTCTTAACCTCCCTCGGCAAAAACTGACCGGCACCCCCTTAGGTGTGTCAGCCCAAACCAGGAGCAAACCGGGGAGTCAATCCGTGTATTCGGAAAGACGGCCCAAAAACCATAGGACCCTGAAGGCAACAAATGGGATGCCGGTGCGTTGGCTAAAAGATTGATAAGAAGCTCGGCTAGAAGGGTTATTTAAGATAGCTATGGAGAATGGCTAATTGTCCTAGGAACCTCTACATTGTCTAAAATCGTCTCAAATCATACTTGAGAATCCCAAATTTATCATGAGTTGTGCCAAAATGTCTATATGGTTACGTCCCAGGTTTCATGGGTAAATTCACCATTTTCTCCGGCCGGTTAAATCTTCATGTTTTCTCGTTAAGTCAGCATTTTGGTTGATGTAATTCCGCATTTTGCTGATGAAATCCCAATTTTTGTAGGAAAACTCACCACTTTCAGAGGTTTTCCCCTGGGTTTCCCCTCCATTCGTCCACCACCGCGGATAGGCCGCCGCCGGCGCCACCGGCGGCAGCTCCCCCGGCGCCTCGCCGTCGCCTGGCGCCGCGCGCGCGCCGGACCCGACGGCCTCAGAGGGGCCGAGGCAACGCGCCGCGGCGAGCAACGTGCGAACCACCAAGGCGCGGTGGAGGGGGGATGGGATCTTGGGTTATTTATAGACTTACCCATAGGATCCATGTATGTTATATATGGTAACATTTACCATCAATATACCCCCAATGTTAGCCTATATACCATACATGGATCCTATGGGTTATACAGAAATAACAGTAGTAGATTTCTATAATTTATGATTTATATAGGCTTATTTTAATAGACTTTGTAGTCTCACAATGTGGGGCCCCCTAGATAGCGAAGTTGGTGGAATTAAACCCCGTTCACTATAGTTATAACTAACATGAACCATGGTTATTGGAATTATAAACTAACTTAGCTATCTAGGGGACCCCACATTGTAGACTCATAGATGATATATTAACAATACTTGAACACATTTCATCAATATTATCCCACTAATAGATAATAACCCATTTATTTCCTGCTTCTTCAATAGTGACCTTCTCAGCCACCAAGATCACTTAATCCCAAAAGGGTCGCTTGACCACCTCAAGAGGGTCACTTTGAAGAACCTGGTAGATCAGTTGGTGAATTTATATAAGTTGGTGAACAATCCATTTATAATTGATTCCGAACTAGGATAACATGATAGTTGCTAATCTGATAAGATGGTAAACTTAAGATATAAATTGGTTAACATCCATTCTTGCATAGTTAATCAAGAAACTTATTGGAATGTACACCTCATACGGATCCAACCTATGCCAGCTGAGGATGGCAAACAATACACCTCCGAGCAAATGCAGTTGGTGCAGCGCATCCTCCGAACCAAGGATGCTTGGGCTGGGGAAGGTGGGAAAGCACAGGTAGCATAGGAATGGTTGGTTGCAGTATTCCTGCTTATTGTGGTGGAAAATTGATGCCACTCATGGCCAATATTACGATACAAACTGAAAACAAACAGCTTGAAAGAACCAACAGCTTGACACACAATAAAAAAAAAGGCGACGTCATTCGATATGGTTTGGATTCTAATTTCCAATCCTTTCTAGTGAAACAGGTTCTATACTGCATGATGTGTCTACACTGTCGGCATGTTTTCTCTAAACTTTCTTCCCCACATTATCATGACTCCCAAAATAAGTGAAGATCACTTACTGGTGCTTAGCAGGGAATGAGGGAATGATCCATAATCACTAGTAATAATCATCCCATTCCCCCATTCCCATCCATTCCCTACTAAGCACCAGTAAGAAGATGATCAAACATAAACCCGCGAACATTTTTTGGTGGGTAGCTGAAGTCCCAGCAACTCCCAGCAGGACTATTACGACATCTTGGAGGTTCCAAAGAATGCAAATGAGGAGGTCGCAAAGAAGGTCAGGTCAGGGTGAAATACGCCTTCAATGTTGAGCCAGACCTTTCCGTATCTCCAATATTGGGGAATACGCTATACCGTGGTATACCCCCATTGTAGGACATCTCTGCAACTTGACAAGAGAGGACACCAATTTTTTTGGGTGCAAATTTGCGTTTCTTTTTTCACGGCACCGGTCGATGTGTCTTCTTCGTCAGGCCTACCGAAAGTTGGCTTTGAAGCTGCACCCCGACAAGAACGGTGCGCCCGGAGCCGACGAGGTTGGGAGCCGCAGGGGCGACCCACCGTTGAAACGCTGCGATGATGATTGGGCGTGCCCAAAAATGATACGGATACCCTCCGGTAAACTAACAGTTTGCTATGGAAGCCATTGCCCATTTAGTTCGTTGATTTACCCAAAAAAAATGGTGATTTTCCATAGTTATGTTCGTTTACCAAAGGATAAGGATACTCCAAAAAAAACCTTTGTTTTGATGTGAACATTGATGATGTTCTCCGTGGGATTTGGGGAGAATTCAGCCAGATTCATGTGGGCCAATGATAATCTAGACGCATTTGGCTCCATTTGGCAAGGATGCCATGGGGATTTGCCCAAGAAATCCCTTAACAAAATTGTTGCAAACACCATGGGGAGGTGAACGTTCCGACATCTGTTTTTAGTGTGCGAAAGAAGATCTTTTCAGATACCCAGATGCTCCATGGTGCTGGTATATGCACCAACATTTGCCCGAACAAAATCACCCAGTTTTGTAGGTAAATATACCATACAAGGAGCATATGGGATATAGTCTTAGTCTTAAGCTTTATCAATTCACAACCAGGTAACCAGGTGTGTCTACCATATTATGCGTCGTGCAATTTGGTGATACTGTAATTGTGATCCTAGGAATATACATGTCTTGCTGTAATATATTTCATGTGAAGCCAATTTCAATGGTCACCACATTGGATTGGGTTAAGGGAAAATCTACAGGAAACCATTGATTTTCCCATGAAAACATGGGGTTTTCCCAGGAAACCCTTAACCCAATCCATTGATCACCACATTGGGGCGCCATTCGTTGGGTCCATTTCTTGTGCGGCTGACTTGAGACTTGAGAGGCGTTCAAGAAGCTCAGCAAAGCATTCCAATGCCTTACGGACCCCGAGAAAAAGATCCTGGGACGGACATGGGTCGTGTCCCGGGACATGGCTGCCCCAAGGTCTTAAGATATGACAAGATATGAGGGTTTCCATGTACCCCAATAGCTGGATGGTGTATATTTATAGTGGAAAATCCTATTTGAATGGATGTTAGGACACCTCCATATCAGTGTACCAAGCAATGAACACGTTGAACAGGTGGCTCATGAACATTGAACATTGAGGCAACAGGAGATACAAAGCCGCATATTAACACATGTTTCAAGGGCAGGATGGGCATCCATGAGAAACTCATTAGCGAGCTATGTTGATGTGAACAGAAGGGGAACATGTTTACAACCCATCCCGAAATAGCAGACACGGAAGTGCCATTGGTAGCGACCCCAATATCCAGAATGTCAATCCATCCGTTTGCATCCGTTAGCCTAGTTGAGCACTGTCAAAAACCCAGTGATTGATTGCTAATATGGGGCTTCCACTAACCTATTGAAAAGCGACCATTAAAATCCATGATTGGAATAGCTACAAATACACCACGAGAACCAGTTCGCAACCAGGTTAGACTGACGGAGCTCAGTCTATGTATACCAACTCGTCTATCGATATTCACCAAGGGGTGAACTGGCTTCACACCACGGTTCAAACGGCTCCGATCGACCCTAAGGCAAGTCTATGACACCTATGGGGATGAGGAGCGAATGCCACAGCAACAGCGCCACCACTACCAGCAGGATTTCATGACTCCCGAGGACCAACGTGCAGAGAGGTTACAGGGTGGAGCCCCCCAGTGATGGCGAAGTTGGTAAACATGTTCTCCAGCAAAAATTGGGATTAAACTTGTAAATGGTGGCTATAATCCAATTATAAGGTAGTTATACCTCCCATTGACTCTCTTATATATTAACCATAAACCCAACAGTTATTGGAGTTATGTGGAAACCAAATTCGCGTTCACAGACTAGGGCACCGCCTTGCATGGAGACAAAGTATGGGGATCTGTCAGATGTGTCAGGACTTGTAAGTTTCCCAAATATATTTCCAGTTATGGCATTTTATGGCCCTTTACCAGTTATAATTAAGTCAGTTACAACTTACAACCCCATTTATTGAATGATGACCCCATTTACAACCGCTTTGAACAATTTATAGCTGGTAAAGGGCTTTAAGTGTAGAGAATGGGCATTGAACATCCAGCAAAAATCCAGCTATTTTCGTGTGAACAGAAGGGCACCAGGGTTGTGACCTTTAAAGCTAAATGCAGCTAAATATGGTAGACTTAGCTTCCTGCTTGTTCTTGGCACAAGCCAATGTTAGTCTACTTCCAAGCGTCATGATGGGTTTCCGACCCCAGGTGACCCATGGTCGAAAACACCCCCCATTGGCCCATGGCTCCTTCGACTTGATTACCGCTGAGCCACTGGTACTGAAGCATAGCATATACCTAGTAACTGTCTGAACATAGAATCCCAGCAAAATTTCTATGGTTTGAGTTTAAGGCTTCACCATGCTTCACCGAAAAAATGCCCAGACCCTTGGCATATCCCCCATGTTCAAAACGCACTTGGAACAAAAAAACGGCTCAGATTCGCAGCCTGCTTTTGGGACCGTGACACCAGGACCTGTTTGCCGCGTTTTTCGGTGGCGGTCCGGCATTCCATCAACATCACCATGGGCCCCGACACCGTGCATTGGCTGAGTTGGCCAGATTGTTTTGGGCGGCAAAATCCACAGTGATGGCCCTTAACAGTTGTAAATGGGATGAACCAACTCCTATAACAAAGGTTTTACATATGTTACTATAAGCCAATCATAACTGTTAAGGCCTATAGTTGCACACAAAATCCAATCGATGAGGTTTTGATAGGGTGGGATCAATTAAAGGAGAAAAAAGAGTCTGTTTGATGGTTTTTGGCATGTTTTGGGCTACATGTTTTCTGGGCAAGATCCAACGATTGATTGGGGAAACAGCCAAAAGATCTGATTATTTTTTGACATTGGTTCATCCACCAATTTACTGCAGAAGCTGTAGTGGGGAATTTTGAGTATCATCCGGAAAGCAAGCATGGTAAACCCCATTCTGTAAATCACGATGTTAAGTTCCTGGAGCAAAAATGTTCCATGATATTCCCACTATTTCCAATTCTATTTACATTAACTTTTTGTTATACCAATATGATTGATTGTTTTTACTGGTTAAAGCCTACATTTTCTTTGTTTTCTAGCCCGACATTGGAGGATAACCATGTTGGAGCCGGCAAAAAGACTCCCGAGGACATCACCATGACGATGGGCAGATGCAGCGTGTGCAAATCTTTCAGGCTCTGCCGGTACTGCTCTTGGTACTCTTGACGTTGGCCTCCAATTTTGCCGCGAAGGACGGAAAAGACAAAATGTGGGTTGTTCAGATAGGTGGGATGCTTTATCAGAAAACCCAATCATTCACAGGATATAGAAACTGGTTGGTGGTTTCAAACATGTTTTGTGGTCCATCATATATGGGATGTCATCCTTCCCATTTCAAGATGGTTAAAACATTTTAAAACCACCAACCAGATTATGATTCAAATTGATCTATTGCCAGCTTCACCATGAGGCTACGCCTGAGTGCCGTGGCGCTTTTTCAGATTTTTTCTGGGCCGTTGCCCATACCCAACAGATATTGGTGGACTTTTATACAATCAATGGATTGGTTGAAGGGAAAACATACAGGAAACCATACAGTAGATTTTCCCATGAAATGTGGGGCTTTCCCTGTAAAATTTCCCTTAAACCAATCTATTGATACAAGGTATTCTGCGAGTTTACACAAGACCTGACGCGAGATGATTTGTTAGTAATGTTGGATACTGATTAGTGTGGGGGGGGGGGCCCTCAACAATTTTACGATATTCAATAAATCGACATTTTAAACGCCCCTCCCTCAACAATTTTTTGGATAGTCAACTTAAGTAAGGATTTCAATTGACATCAATCTACTTTCAATTGATTTTCCTTTTAAATCCAAAAAACATGGCCCCAAAAGTTTTTGTGCACAATAGGGTACCATCGAAACAATTACATTATTGAGGATCTGGGTCACACATGGGATACCCCCTTGAAAAAATGTGTGGGTGCTTTTTTTTTTTAAACTAAGGGTTTAATAAGGCATCTAATGATTTGGACAACCTTGCATTTTCAAGGCTTTAACATGGATATGACTTTCTAAAGTAAATGGACCAGCTTTACCCAAAGAAAGGTGTAGAAAGGTGGATAAAGCTCCTCCTGAAAAAAAATGGATCTCAGAAAAAACTTCTCACAATAGAGGCTCACCCCCATTCACAAAATATTCCATTTTTTTTGAACATTTTCACACAATAGAGTCCCAGGACACTAATGGGTACTACTTTATTTGTTTTGCTTAATAAGGGAGACTGCAACACACATCAAAACATTTGGACGAATTAGAATAATCAGAACCTCACCTCGCGACCTGGAAATCGTCCCCTTCAGGACGGTGGTAGCAAGTTTTCCTTTCAGCCAAACAATGCCTACCGCAACGAACGAAGTACTGCCACCCTGAACGTGGCCTACTACGTGACGGACGATTTCGAGGAGCACTACAACGAGGGCACCCGCAATCTGGCGGAGTTTGACCGACAGGCGAGGGGTGCTGATCGGAACTGCCAAAGAACAGCTGGTTTCACCAACAAAATCGGGATTTTGGCACCAAGAGTGGGGAAAATTCACCAACAATTCTTGGGTATTTAAGCAGAACTTGGATGATACAATGTGGGGCCCCCTAGATAGCTAAGTTGGTGAACATAACTCCAATAACTATGGTTTATTGTACTTAATTATAACTATAGTTAATGGGGGTTATAAACCAACTCATAACTGGGGGGGGCCACATTGTTTGTATGTTTGATGTTTTTTGTGGAGTTATACATGATGTACAA